GGGTTCTGGGCATAATAGGAATTCTTACGATTGTCAAATAGGACTGTCAGCTGTGTACCAACTGGACTTATGCACAGCGCAACACCATTAGAAAAGCAATGAATTTCACATTTTATAAGGGTTAAAGGTTTACAAAACACAAAAATCACTTAATATTCTGTTATACACTCATTGGCCACTTTATTAGGTACACCCGTCCAACTGCTTTTTAACGCAGCCTATCACATGGCAGCAACTCAATACATTTAGGCATGCAGCCATGGTCAAGATGATCTGCGGGATTTAAGTTACTAATTGTGGCATAGTTATTGGTGCAATACAGTCTGGTCTGAGTATTTCAGTAACTGCTGCTCTACACTGATTTTCACACACAGCCATGTCTAGTCTGATCACTGCATGTGTATGTCATGCAGTAGGCCTTGTAGGGTAACCCCTTTTGGCCTGGGGACTCAAGCACTTCCTCCATTTGCAAGTTGACAAATTATTAAAAATGCTTGCGATGCAGAGTATTGTTTTTTTATGGAAGCACTTTATTGTGTAGAAGTTCATGTGTCTATTTATTAAACAGGAACAAATTGTTGACTGGCTAACTGACACAGCTACTGCACAGTTAACGTCCCAGGGTATCTAAAAATTAATAAAAGTTGATCGATGAATTTTAGTAAAATTAGGAACATATTATAAATGATCAAAACGTCTTAAGTGCAACTCTATGAGGTACTGATTTTCTTAAATATAAAAGTCATAAAGGTTGAAGGAACATAAGTTGCTATTTATGCATGTCTCCATAAAATATATCTGCGTTGAAAAAGTGTATTTAACCTCTTAAGCCCGAGAGTCCCCGGTACCGGGGACTTGCCCCCTTGTGCGTTACATTTTCACTCATAGCTCACTAACCCTGAGAATAACCCACACATATTAAATACTGTTGTGTTCAGCGGAAACTCCTCTAAAAACGTATCTAATTCAATTTTATATCCGTGAACCACAGCTCGAACGCCATGTAAATAAACAACAACATGTCCGGATTATAACTCATGACCACGTTTTTGTTTATGTGCGATATGTATCCACAATATAAACGGAAACACCAAAACCATGGCATCAAATGAAAGCTAACAACCAGCTGAATCCAGCGATATGCAACTCATTTACATTGCATGAAGTATTTCAGAGCAGGGAGCTAAAGTTCCCCGAAAAAACGCCAGCAAAAACCAAGCAAGCATGTAAATCTTGTCTTACCTTTGCCGTTTTTTCAACAAAAAGTTATTTCCATAGCGATAAAAGTCCGTTTGTTGTTATGTCCGGTCGATAGCTTCGCAAAAGTCCATTTTGTGTTTTTTCTGTTGCTCCAGTGCTCCTCTTACGTCACCAAATATGGAATGACTCCCCGTGCGTAAGAGCACGTCTCTCCACGCTGCGCGTCGTGTGATTCGTCGGCGATCCCGTCAGTCTCAAAATGGTTGAGCTGATTGGTTTCCATAGAATCAGAGCTTTCCAGCGATATATAGATCTCCCGGATTGGACAGATGGTCGGGGGGTAGGGACACGCAGAAGCTCGACGTCGAAAGCGCTTGTGAATGAAAGGTTCCCAAAAGCGCAGCAAGATGGGGTAAATGAGCTTCCACCCCCCTTTTACAGCGTTTCTTTAGGAGTTTTTTTGCTGAAATCATGTCCCGTAAGCAAGAAAAGAAGACCATGAACGTAGCTGAAGCTTTGGACAAGATTTTTCCATATTTCAATTATTGTGCCAAATTGTGCCAAACTGTGCCAACATGGATTACGCCTGAACTTTGTTCAATCAAAACCTTTACAGAATATTAGTTTCTTGTAGTATGAACACCAAACTGGCTACAGATGTCCTTGACATGTAGTTGTTACAATTGATTGTGTTTATTTGCTTCGTTATAAGTAAAATAAGGAGATATTGGAGGAAACATGTGTTTTTTTTTTAGGCGGAGTTCATTTTTTGGCCATTCCAACATCAATTACTCTTACCCAGTGTTCTTGACTGTCAAATTAACTCACCCACACCACTCCCCAAGAACCTATCTTCATTTTGATACCAAGATTTGCAGTTTAGGCCTTGTAAAAGCTGAGAAATGCCTTAAAAAGTATAAGTATAGGATTTTCGGAAAATAGGCCTCAGGGCTTAAGAGGTTAATGAAATGACAAATAAATAAAATGAAAGCTGCAAGCAGGTTGCCCTTTGGACTATGACCTGTCGTAATTTAGGAGTAAAAATGCTAAACATACAGGCAAATTAAATAATGAAAGGCGGCGCTATGAATGTGTGAATATTGGTAAAAAGAAGAACCTTATTAATGTTATATTTCATGTGGCCACCTGGTGGCGCTTTATCTGAGAGTCTACATCAGAGATGTGTACAGAAATTGTCTAATAGTTGGTAAATTTGGGGCCAATCACATAGTATGGCAGAATTAAAACAACTCCCTCTTTATAGTGAAATTTTGAATGCGCACAAAGTTTAACGAAGTCACATAAACTTCGCAATTTGACATCCGACGCACATTAATATAATGTCGTTTCTGTAAGAGGAGTTTGATAAAGTGTCACAAGCAGAAGTGGCCATTTTTTACTCTTGGTACCCTACACAAGTGAACCAAATGTATGCGTTAGGTGGCGCTATAGAGCCATTTTTCAACACTTCACTTTTCAAACCCCAATCAGACGTAAAGTTTCACTGTTCTAACACGTGTACGAAATTCTGTGACTTTTGGAGCATGTTAAGATCCTCAAAAAATAATTTTCTGAGCAGTTCCAATAGGGTTCTATGCACCTTTGGTGCTCGACCTTTAATACATCAATGTACAGTGGTTTACAATATATAGAAATACACAAAGAAGCAAAACTGTAAGCATAAAATTAACTGTTTCTTAACTCTTAGGAAGCTTTCCTTTCCAACTTTTTTTGTTCCTGCGTGTACAAGTAAAGCGTTCATTTTATAAAATAGTCACAGGCCTGTTCTGTCCTTCAAACGTGTGTTTGAGACTTATTCCAAGATTTATTTGCAAACTGTTTAGGAAATGTATCGTCATGTTGCAGTAAGGTCTTAATAAAATCTTGTTGGTCTTAATTATGTGTTGAATTTACACTTAGGAATCCTGCATAAGTGCTGAGGCTTCATGCAGAGGTAGAGAAGTGTGTTGTTCCCGCGTACTTCTCGACTCATTCACTCCAAAAGTGGAAGTCGTAGATGTTATGGACTTCTCTCAGTACATACCTGTCTCCTTCAATAACATTCTCACTTTTCAAACTTCCTATCGACTCGCTGCATAGTCGACATTCCTTAGCGTCCTTCCGCCCCGCTTTCCTCCCCTTGCTGAGTGTATGTGTTAATGCCTGTAAAAGAATGAGGTTAGGGTGGAGTGGAGACAAAGACGCCCGCGTATGATGTGCTCATGTGTCATCCTGCTAATATTCCAGCTCTCTACCTCAATCTAAGCGCCATGTTAGCGGTTAACGCTTGTACAAGAGGCAGTGCCACCTAATACAATGGTCTCCATATAGCCGAGGGGGGTGGGGTGTTGCTTTACCAGTGGACAGAGTAAAGCCCTTTGCACCACTTTCCCAGGCTGTCGGTCAGGAAGGCTGGATTTTTTACACCGTGACCACCGTGTTGCCCTTTCCGGGGGAAATCCGAGACAAACATGACGAAGGGGGGTTGTGAGAGAGGGGTGGGGGTCAGGAAAACCGGCCCTGGGAAGAAGGAGAGGCCAGGAGAAGAAAGGTGTTGGCTACACAGCATGAGAGAAGCTGTTGCTTTCAGGGTGACTCAAAGGACCGTATACCTCCCCTCAGTTACCCCATTGTCACCACCCGCTCCTGTCTCGCCCCACCTTCCTCCTTGGAAAAAAGGCTCATCTTCTTGCAATTTTGTGGCCTGGAATCAGTCCCCAAAATACAAAGCCCTAACACCTCTCGTGCAATAATAGGCTCCTTCTTTCGCTCTCTGTTACGCATATTAAATGTTAATTTCACTTATTCAGATGCGCTGTGAAGGATCCACTCGTAACAATGGCTGACTGGGGAAAAAGAGTCAAGGAGTGCATTACAAAGGAAGCGAGAGTTAGGCTTGTATCCTGGATTTTGCCGGGAAAGTCTTGTGGTGACGGGAAACGTGCTGCACAAAGTTACTGTGGAAGAAAGTCTGGACTTTTTCAAGATTTTAACACGTTTATGTAGAATTTTAGTTGATGGAGCTGAACAGTGTTGGTCATTTTGGATGTCCTGGTTTCAAGTACCATTTTTATTTATTATTATATATATAAAATAAAAAAAAACTTTCTATTTTTTAACAAATAGACGTTCTTTATTATTAAAGACCTCTAGACACCGACCTGAATTTTCGTGCGGAAGTCTTTTAGTGTCGTTCCCTCATCATCGTTTTCTTACGAATATTTCACGCATGATCGTGTAAACCCCGTATTCCTTTTTTTATCAGCTGGAAACGGCTCGATGTTCCTTGCAACGCCCATAGTTCCAACCTCCGCCCACTGACCAATCAGATTAATCGCCAGTACAGCTCATATCCATGCAGATCGGGTGCGCTGCCTGACCTGGAAGTGCTGAAGAACATTTTTATCTGTCGATTATAATGTATTGGGGTTGGGTTTCGATGGACGATGACATTGTCCCAATCCTCAACTACGATTTGTTAACAAACCCAATGTTAAAGGGTGACGCAGCAATATTAGCGGCTTTGCTAACACACCCAGCATTGCACAAAACACTTGAAATCGGTTAGTAATGTCAAAGAAACACCATTAGAAAAGAATAAACAAATTCCCAGTGTCAAACTCCTTCAAAATTGGCATGAAATAGATCCAAACTTTGTGCATTAGCTCACACAAACACCGCGAGAGCTCATTAGCATACACAGACATAAATATTTATTATAACCGCTTTGAACTTTGCATAATGTGGCCCCTTTAACTGTAAATGAATGCCTTGAGTTTATTAGATGCGGATGGTGGAGCTTTCCAGTGGCTTAGTCAGTGGAGCATTGCGCTAGTAACATAAAGGTTGTGGGTTCAAACCTCAGAAGAAAAAAAATGTGGTGTAATGCGTTCGTCACTTTGGATAGAAGCGTCCAAAGTAATGTAAATGTAAATGTTTCTCCTCTAGGCGAGGAGGCTCTTCCGGAGCAGCTCTGCAGTCTCTGGAGTGGGAAGGAGCAGGACAAGGTGAGCTTGTTCTTCTAGAAGAATGCTCAGATGACCGTGAGATAAGTCACATGAGTGGAGGAACATGAATGTGAGGAAACGACTCCAGGAACAATCCTCGTTTTCTTCTGTCTGTATTTGGAGACTTCTTCTGGGCTATTTTTCGAGAGCCCCCAATGTAGAGATGGTTCTCCAGGTTGTTTTTGAGGATACAAGTAATTTGTTTAAACAAATATTTTCATCACATTTGCTTTTAAACTTCTAGTCCTTAATATTGATGTTTTTTGGATGTCATTTCATATATCAAAACAACATATTTCATCAAATTCTCTTCAAATGATACGTCCAAGTTTTTTTTTTAATGAATTTTAGATTTTTTTATATTCAAATACATTTTTGTCTTCAAGTATATATTGTATTTCATTTCATTTTGCTTTCTGCTTTATTTTGAAAGTATTAGATGTTCAGTGTTTTTGGGGGTGGGGGGCTTATTTATTTTATTACTCTATGCTTTTTGGCCTGGTTTTATTTTATTTAAGTCATCTTTTTGTTTTCTATTTGGTTTTGATAAAATTTGTTATATACAATAGTTTAATATTATTTTCCTCATGTGTATTTCTAAGTTTATTTTGTTTGCATTTTATTCAGCCTTTTCTGACAGAAAATTACTTATACAAATGTCAATTTCTTTTTATTTAAATTTTTTATGTTTTTTTCAGTCATTTTTTTGTTTTCTGTTTGGTTATTTTTTATCTTAGTTTTACTTTAGGATTTGTTTTTGATTAATTTTGTTATATAGTTAATTTATGTTATTTTTCCTCATAATTTTCATTATAAAATAATACATTTTTTGATTTTCATTACAAGAAATGTGCCCTTGTAATGAAATGAACTCTGAAGGGGTTCATGTTGTCTCTGTCTCTCTTAGTTGCGGCAGATTTTAGTGAGCAGCTTCTCGCAGATGTCTGAGCCCTTGACTGGTTTTCTGGATTTGATGGAGGGATGCATAGGCATCCAGAAGAGCCGGTCCAGCGCTTTCCTGCAGTTCATGCTATCTGAGTTCCAGCGGTGGCACAGCAAAAATAGCCCACAGTTCAGTCTGGAGGCATTGAGCCAAGAGCAGCAACTGTGCTTGCAGGAGCGGGCTCTGGGGCTCCTCACAGACTCTCACCCCGGGTATGTGGATCCCCTGCTGCAGATCTACAAGCTAAGCTCCCTCAGACACCCACTGCTGCTGGAGCATGCACACTTCCTGCTGGAAAACGGCTTGTTCAAAGAGGTGAATGCCGCTTCATGTTGTGTAGCCGAAAGGTGCAGGAAAGATCTAGCAGAGTTATAGAGGAATAGGGGAATGCTCATCTTTTAATTGTAAGGTTCAGATTCTTGTCACAGGCCTTTCAGAGCTGAGTTTCCATTTCAATCTCAAATGTTGAGTGGTCTGGTGTCCTCTTTAAATTGTCATCTGGAGAAATTATATGAGGCTGAAGGCTCGGTTTGGTGACCAAGGGAGTCAGACCCTGTTTAGAATCAGAATTTGTCTCCAGAAGACCCCAATTGGGGATATTTGTCCTTGGACATACATTAATACAACCCAAATACATTTTAAAACCCATAATATTTACATTTCAGACCATCCAGCTGCTAGATTGTCAGATTTTAAAAGGTCTTCAGGTCTCTTCTGCCATGGATTGTTTAAACAAAATTGGCGTGTCCTGCTGCTAAAAGTAGGCAGGGGCGTGGATGAGGGTGTGGCTGTGTGGAAAAAGGCGGCAGGAAAATGGAGGGAAATTTAGCTGAAAGGGGGATGGAAGTCCCCCAGAATTGGAAAAGCATCACCAAGCTACTACACAGTCTTGCAAATTGCCAGAAGAGTAAAGCCCCGTGCAAACCAAAACAACTTTACTGCTTTTCGCGCAGAGACTAGCTGAGTTGACGCTAGTAGACAAACCACTGTTTAGCCAATAAGTGGTTGACAAGCAATGTGACATTTGTTATC